GCCTGGGTGCTGTCTCTCAGCTCTTCAGCTCAAGGCTAGCGCTCTACCACTTGAGCCACAGCGCCACTTCCAGCTTTTTTCTTTTTGCTTATGTGTTGCTGACGAATGGAACCCAGGGCCTCTGGCATGCAAGGCATGCGCTCTACCACTGAGCCACCTTCCCAGCCCTATTTATCTCATTTTTAAAAAGGTCTCTGAATAGAGAAATATTTCCCTATTGGCCTAATTTATATTATTTATACTTGGGCCACTTGAGTGTAAATTGGAAGAAGTCATTATACTTAGCATTATTTATCAAGAATTCCAAAATACAATTTGCAGATGGGTTCTATCCTCAGATTTTTAGGTATTTTTGGTTGGTTGTGGGCTTGAACTTGGGGCCCAGGCACTGTCCCTGAGCTTTTCGCTCAAGGCTGACACTCTACCACTTTGAGCCACAGTGCCGTTTCCTAGGTTTCTAATAATATAGTCTTATAACACTAACAATCAGCGTAACTTAAAAATTGTATTTCACTCATGATTTTCTTTCCAATTCCTCACTATGAGTAAATAAAAAGATTTTATGAGTTGGGATAAAAACTTATAAGTTTGCTGGGTGCTGGTGGCTCACGCCTGTAATCCTAGCTACTCAGGAGGCTGAGATCTGAGGATCGCGGTTCAAAGCCAGCCCGGGCAGGAGAGACCGTGAGACTCTTATCTCCAATAAACCACCAGAAAACCAGAAGTGGCGCTGTTGCTCAAGTGGTAGAGCGCTCGCCTTGAGCTGAAGAGCTGAGGGACAGCGCCCAGGCCCAGAGTTCGAGCCCCACGACCGACAAAAAAAAACTAATAAATTTATATACTCAGTGCTAAGTCTTCAAGTAGGGCTCTATCTCATAACATGTACCTGAATATTTATGAAGGTAATTCAAAACAATGACTGATAAGTACAAAATAGCCCCATGAAATGAAAATTAATCCCTAAAGATTTTAGAATTGGGATGTCATAATTAGCCTCTTATTTATATATATTTATAGTTCTATATAGAAAAAGTTTTATTTTGGATCAGATATTCTGGTTTAGTTCTTTGTTCCTGATAATTTTGAGAACTCAAAGAAGATATTTATACTAGAGATGCTTTCAATATACTAGAGTCCTTTCAACAGTAAATCCTCCTAAATAATGTATTATCAAAGTTAATCATGAGGTAACTACCAACACTGTTAGCAGATAATATAAAAATAAATTTATTTTGTATAACTATAAAATTTTGTATTGTAGTTATAATGTTGAGACAATCCTATTTATAGAGACTTTTATTTATATATCCACTTCAGAGAGAGAACTTGTCCTAATTTTAATAAGAAAGAATGCCTTTTATTTTTTTATTGCCAGTTGTGGGGGCTGAAACTCTGGGCCTGGACGCTGTCCCTCAGCTCTTCAGCTCAAGGCTAGTGCCCTACCACTTGAGCCACAGCACTACTTCTGGCCTTTTTCTGCTTATGTGGTGCTGAGAAATCGAACCCAGGGCCTCATGCTTGCAAGGCAAGCATTCTACCACTGAGCCAACTTCCCAGCCCCGCCTTTTAATTCTTAAAATGAGTTTTTAAGAATTCCCAGAGATAAAACAAGAGTTTTAAAAATTAATAAAACATCAATTTTTGTGGATGTAAGCTAAGTATACAAAACTAATACTTTTCTAATATATTATAACAATTGATTTTAAACGTTATTTCAGAGCTGTATTTTTTGTTTTAGGAGAGATAAGTGTATAAGTAGAGAAAAGTTGATATATTCAAATCCATAATCATACAGATTATTTATAACCTAATACATTGAAATTTTCTATAGTTTTACAAAGTTGGGTGAAAGATTGGTGTTGTTTATAGTCCCAGTGTTCAAAGTTAGAAAAATGCAGTTATTAGTTAAAATGTATATTTTACATTTAAATGTGCTCATACACACTTAGGAACAACTGGGTCTATAAAAAGAAAAGTGATGACTTTCACATAAAAAATTTCCTTGTTTTACAGTTAATAATTCCTGAAACATTTTGGAGAAGACTGTTAATGGACTGTAACAATGTACTACATCCTTCTACTTCCCTTTTTCAATGTTAACCTTACTTTTAAGTTCTACTTTTTCTCTTATCTTCAAATAAACTCTTCAGCATATAAACTTGAATGGCTGACACTGCCACCATGACCACTAAATTAACTATAGACCAGAAGTTGACTCTATCAAAGTTGCTCTCTTGTATGTTTCGATCACGAGCTTCAAATGCTCTAAGCAGAGTTTGTATATGACCACTCTTGCTTAACCTTGACTTGATGCCGTTGATGGATTCCTG